CTCTAACTGAGCATGGTGGCCTTGAACTTTGGAATATTTATAAGGTAAGTTCGTTAGTCTCTCTCTCTTTTTCTCATTATTTAATTTTCATTTCAATGAACCAATTTTTCCAGAATGTTGGAGGTGCTTAAAGGTTTTTTTCTAAATATGGAGAAAACGCTTTTTGTGTTCTGGCTGTTGCCACTTATTGCTCTTAGTGAAGCAGATGTAAGTCAAAGTGTAATATTGGTCGTTCACGATTTTCTTTCAGACCTGTCGTTGGCAAGCGACCGCCCAATGTGGCGACCCAAGCCATGTTGGGTGTGACAGCTTATGGTCTCATATAGGGCCCTCAGCCCTTACTCGGGAGGAGGGTTCAAAAGTTTGGGAAAGCAGCGGAAGAGGTAGGTAAAAAATTTATATCTTTTTAAAAATTATTATTTAAAATTTAAAATCTATTTTTTTAGCCGTGTAGGTGGGTGGCCACCATTGGCTGTGGTGGCCAAGAAAACGAAAAATGTGATGGGCTGGAGATTTCCAAACATCGCTACCATGCTCTAACTGAGCATGNCTCTAACTGAGCATGGTGGCCTTGAACTTTGGAATATTTATAAGGTAAGTTCGTTAGTTAAGTCTCTACTTTTTTGTCTCTCCTCTTTTCGGTTTTCTTTTGTTTTCTCATTTCTCCTTTTTTATAATAAGTTCGTCTTCAATATGAAGCTCAATGTTTTTGGTTCCAGGTGCTACCCAATCTTTCCAAACAGTCATTCCCGGATTTCGGGAATGATTGCCCATTTACATTCAAAGAAAACATCACATGTTGGAGGTGCTTAAAGGTTTTTTTCTAAATATGGAGAAAACGCTTTTTGTATTCTGGCTTTGGATACATTGGAAGGGAACATGGGTAAGGTTTTTTTCTAAATATGGAGAAAACGGAGCACTGGCAAGTTGATTATAAAAATGTTAGCTAAATATCTAAAATGTTATCTAAAATAAACCCTTTCTTTCAATTTTAAGAGAATTTTTCAGCAATGCCATTGGGCACCAACGGTGCAATGCGGAGCTGATAACTACCAAAGTTGTTCGGGCTTTTTGCGCTATGGAAAGAGCGTAATAACTCGCCAACAAGCGCAAAACGAATTCGGGCGAATAAAAAAAAACCTTGTGAGTTAAATAAATTAAATTTTCGATTAATTTTTTTTCATTCCAGCAATTCTTGTTCCCGGCAGGCGAAATGCCGGAGTTTGGCAACGATTGCCCCAAATATAATGCTCCTATTCTACCTGAACATGTTGGAAAAAAACTGTGCTGCAAGTAGTTGTCTGATCTTACTTGAAGAACATATACATAACCATTTTTCTTAACTATATGTAATTCATAAAGATGGTTTCTCTTGTTTGTTCCAAGTTGTCTGAGTGGCACAAGCTTAAAGCCATCACAGGTGCTGATATAATTTATGATTTTGCTATAAATCTTCAAAAGCCTCTTCCTCCTTCTATCTCTCTCAACAT